TTCTCAGATGTTGCAATTTTTACAAATTGAAGGCAAAATCCTCTGCTAGCAAAAAGATTACAGTTCTGATTCTCATTTTATTGAGGTGGTCTAGAAGCTGTTAAAAAAAAAATTCAACTTCCACAGCTGAACATCTTTAAAAAAAAAGGGTTGTCCTGCCAGGTGACTTAGTTGGTTGGAGCGCCATCCCATACACCAAAAGGTTTTGGGTTTGATTCCCTGTCAGGGCACAACCTAGGTTGTGGGTTCTACCCTGGTTGGGGCGCATACAGAGATGTAAGTTGTTTGGAAAGAATTTACATTGGCTATACAGATAAAGGGAGAGGGAGAAGAGGAAGGGGAGCTAGTTCTGGGATAAGCACAATCTGTAAGGAGGAAGTGTTTGCTCCTTTGGATGGATGGGCAACAGTCCAGAAAGTTCATGCATATGCATGATGAGATGGCTCTAGGGTTCAATTGCACCTGGCTGTTCTCTTGGATAATGACAGAAATAGCCACCTGGAAGTTAATTCAAAGTTCCAACACACACATGGGTGGCTGTGAGCGTCCTCCCAAGCACAGAAGGTTTGTTGGTTTGATTCCCACCTGGTCAGGCACATCTGGGTCTCTTGGTCTCCCTCTCTTTCCCCCTTTCCCTCCCTTCTCCCTTGCCTTCCTTTCCTCTTCTCTCTCTGGTGTGGATTAAAAAAAAGTTCCAACTCACACTCAGGAATGTAAGCAGTCTTGTTGGTTTTTGCCTGCAGTTTTAACTGATTAACCCCTTCTTGTCTTTTCCTTCCATTCACTGGCCTGCTGCAATTTAATTTAGGACTTTTCAGAATATTCTTGTCAAACCAAATTGCAATATCTCTGAGATTTGTGTATATTTGGCAAGAAGGCCAGTATGGCTGAACAGAATGAGGCAGACAAGAGTGAATGAGATCTGAAAGGTGTGAGAGGGCATACATGTACAGATCCTGACTTATGGGGGTTGGGGCTTTAACATAGGACTTTTGGGAAGATACATTTCAGTCCATGGCATTGTGTGTGTGTGTGTGTGTGTACCAGTCCTTTACTGACGAAAAGTTATCTCCAATCTTTTGTTATTAAAAACACTTCTGTAATGAAAAATTTATACACACATCATTTTGCATATACTAATATATGAATGTACCTGTAGGATGAATTTCTAGAAGTGGAATCACTAGGTCTGTAGTGGAATGTATCTGTTTTTAAAATTAAGAATATGAAACCTATGATTTTGTTTAGTAAATACAAGTCTCTCCCTTCTATACAATAGTTAAAGTTTGGATCACTTCAGAAACCTGAAACATATTTTCTACAATGCAGGAATTCCTGAGAGAGCACCTTGTGTTAACTAAGCTTGTTAAATTAGTAGTTTAAAGTTATCTTGCTTCCTTGGTAACCTTTTTGTTCTTCTCTAGTTTGTGAATTAACAAGCAAAAAAGTATAAGTTGTATCATATTATAGCACAGATAGAATGGTGACTGGTTTTCCCCCAAATATAGAAGAAAAGACTAATTTATGGTTGGTGGGAAAATACACATATTTATAAAAAATGATCAAAATGTGCAATGGGTATTTATTAGGCGGGAAATTCACCCGA